CAGTTTAGTTAAACTCGTCAGACTGGAGAAACATATGTAACTTCTTTTTAATTCAGAATTGAATATATTCTGTTGGAGATATAACAATTCAAAATCTGGTAGCTGGATGCAATTCTGAATTAAAAAGAAGTTACATATGTTTCTCCAGTCTGACGAGTTTAACTAAACTGGTATATTTTCTCTGGGGCAGAGCTCTTATTGTGGACAAACCCCACCCACGCTTATAGCGTCCTTATATACTCAGACTCTTTCATTGTTTTAATTAAAAATTTAACATGCTAATTGCTTTACAATATAGTTTTACTGTTTTAAAACTCATTATTCATTTTAATTGTATTTCTGTTGTTTTAATTCTGTTTCTATAAAACATTCTGATCTGTTACAGAGTGTATAGCATACCAGCAAGTCAAATAAACAAATAAACAAAGCACTTGGCTGCAGACCCAGCAGGAAAGCCTCAAATCCTTACTTGCTGCATCTGAAATAAATTTTCTCGAGCCAAATCCCTCTTCCGGCAGAGGACATACCATCTGAGTAACTAAGATCAAGCCATTAAACTCAGGACCTTTTACATGTTGGAGATGGATCCAATCATGTACTAATAAAACCTGGTTCAGAAAGGGTTCAGCCTCATGACAAACCTTGTGAACAAGTAACATAATGACAGAGAACAGCCCTGGGCACAAACTTTTTCAAGACAGGCAATTAACTTTGGACTGGCATGACAGGAGTTCCAGTCAAACAAAGGGGTTGAAGACATGGAAGAACTAGGCAGTGAAACTGCCAATGAAAGGAGGACAAGGCTCCCCTCATCTTTTATTCCACCAGGAGGAGGGAGCTAAGAGAAAAGAATTTCAGAGCAGCAGGTAGAAGGACATGTCTGAGGAAGGCTCAGAGTCCAAGCCTGGGACTACTTCCCCTTTTCAGGGATACAAAGTTAGGAATAATTTTCAGACTGGGATAGGCTAATATGGATGAGGTACAGATAAATTGTAGAAAGAAGTGAACCTGTTACAAAATCCATTTTGTATTATTACATAAAAGCCTTTTTTTCTTTTGTTTCTATGTCAGCCAACTGTCTGCGCTATCCTGTCTTCTACACATTCCACCCTGTTATGTTACCTTACAGACTTGAAGAATTTCTAAATCCTCAAAGGGTTTAGTGATGACAACAGGACAGTAAGACAGGTAGTTCCCAGGTTAAAAACGCCTCGTTTACGGACAACCCATAATTAAGAACAGGGGCTATTATAGCAAAATTCGAGTTAAATACACAATGGTTCAAGTTAATTACACAATACTACTTATACAGTATTATACAATATTACTGTTCCAGCTTACATAGAAATTTGACTTCAGGACAGACCTTGAGAACAGAACTCATTCTTTAACTGGGGACTACCTGTATACTAAATGGAAGAAAGTAAACCTAAACAAGGAAGGTATGCAATAAGCCTTGACAAAAAATAGCTGGACTTAATTTATTTACCTGGATTTAATTAGTTACCTATATTGTCTATTAGAACTAAGCCTCAGTTTATCCACATCCAATCTCAAGCTGTTCCCTTCCAGGAACATTCAATCAAATAAGGCCAGAACATCTCAAATCATGTCCCTAATCAGCCAAAAAAAACCCAGAAGGATACTGTTATGAATGGTATCATATGACATCAAGAAATCCTGGAGGAAAACAGTTTTCCCTTGTCCCATTTCTGGTATAAGTCTGTCATCACTAACCCTTTGAGGATTTAGAAATTCTTCAAGTCTGTAAGGTAACATAATAGGGTGGAATGTGTAGAAAAGCAGTAAAAGCTAGTGTCCTGCTGTCATCACTAAACCCTTTCAGGATTTACAATTAGGATTTAAGATTAGGATTTAGAAATCCTTCAAGTCTGTAAGGTAACATAACAGGGTGGAATGTGTAGAAAAGCAGTAAAAGCTAATTTTGTCCCAAAACCAGGAATGAACCAGGTTTAAGGGGAGGTACACTTGAATGTGCAGTTTTATCCATATTTGGAAGGAATACTAAACACCATCTTAAATCCTTGTATTAAAAACAACTAATTTCTACTTGTGTTATGCCTCCTTTGTAATTCAGTATCAAGCATCCTGAATGTCTAAATAAAAAGATAGGATATAGGTTGAAAAATAATTTTAAAAATTAATGTTACCTTCTCCATTTGTCTTGTTCAGCACACCAAAATTCTGACAGCTTTTAGACTGTTTACTTGTTAAGACACTGAATTACTATTTCAATAAAATTATAAAATAAAACTAGCAGCCCTTCTGAATTAGAGTTGTTAAAGAGCCAAAGTATCCTATTAAAACATATACAAACTTCATAGTAACTAAGATCCCACAGTTTCATTAAAAAACATGTAGCATTTATTTTCATAAGGGTGTATTAAGAACATACCCTATAAATATTATCAACCAATCTAGAAATAAAAAGGTTAAAATGTACTCAGAAGTCTAAGTTTTCAAGGACACTTCAGTCCTTGAAACTCCTTCAGAATCTCATAAAAAGGAGCTATTTTTCAAATATGGTAACGTATCAAGTTGGCATCAAAAAAGCAATAAATAAATGCATTAATAAAAAGAGCAGTATGCTGCATTTACTCTTTTGACATGAGAAATAGAATTTCCTTTTAGCAGTATAATTTGCTGTAGTTTAGCCTCACCAGCAAAAAAGGAGTATTTCATGACACTGGTTCTCCTGAATCTTTCAAAGCAAACAAATCATGTCACACCTAAAGCAGCAGAGTGACCTACAGGAGATTTATTGTAGCTATTCTTATGAGCAAAAATTCTCTATTCTACTGCTTTCCAAACAATCAATCTCCCCGTTAGTATGCAAAATGCTAAGAAGAAAAGTCTTCATACTTAATAGGATGTGTTCTACAAGTAAAAAAGAAACACATAGAAAAATGTAATGAGTATAGAAATTAGTGCCTTAAGAATGTCAGTGCAATTTTTTTTCCAAATTGTCAGCTTTAATGAATACAAAACTGCGTTTGTAAATTTAAGTTACGCTGATTAACTTTCAGAGATGGCATGCAGGATGGGGCTAAGAAAGCTGTCCAGGAGGGTGGAAGAGAAGTTCCATGTCCTATGTAGCATCTTGCTTCCTTCTCTTAAGGTTCAGAAGGAGAATACTGAAGAACAAATTTTAATTTCAATAAAACCTTCAAATGTGCTTCCTTTAAATCTGTTTGTAACTTATCCCTCCCTTATTGTAACAAACATAAAGACAGCACTGGGAAAGAGATACATATCACAAAGACGTATACTGGAGTCATAGAAATTTGGAATTTTATCTGGCTGTCATTATTAAATGTTCAGGGAGAGGCCCCATTGGGTTCAGTGCAATTTAATCCCAGGGTGGCCACAAGATTCCTGCTTGGGAGTGGGGGTGCTAAATTTCATGGGATTTATTTCTGACTCTGCAGGTGTGGGAATGCAGGCAAAGGTAGCGGTTCTGTGGTCACTGAACTTGGGGCTGGGCTTGTTCTTTGTTTGTACTTTGTTTTGATGCTATCACTGTTTGCTGTGAAGCTTACCACTATTGCAGAAGTGCAAGTGGAATTTGTGGAGCTTGAGTTTGTCACCAATTTGAAGCAGAAGGACTTTGGATTGCTGCAGGTGTCTTCCCTAAGAAGGATCTCCCATGACGCACACTACTTCCATGGGGATGCTGCCTATGTTTGGACTGTATATGAAAAGAGATAGTTTTTCTCAGTTGTGAAGACTTATAAGTTTGGGTTGAGGTTGGGATGGGCTGGTGGGTATTTGCAGGCAATGCTCGGTTTGGCTTACTTTCAGGATACGGAGCTGGTTGTTGGTGTTTTGGGTGGTAGGGAGCATTGCCAAATGGATGATTAAATTGGAGTGGCAGGATGTGGTTCTTTTTTTGCAAGGGTGCTTATTTGAAAAATGTATGTTTGTGGCATTCCATGATGTGCTTCATTTTTTATTTACTGGAAACTTCTGTGTTGGTACAGTATATTGGTATATTGTGACACTCATGGTAATTTGAGTTTGAGACCTCTGAACTAGACATTACAGGTAGTCCTCAATTTACAATGACAATTGGGACCAGAACTTCCATCGCTAAGTGATGCGGTCATAAAGCATGACCGCATCTTTTAGCGACAGCAATCCCTGCAGTCCCGGTTGCCATTGTTAACTGAATCCCACCATCATTAGGCGAGGCAACTTCCTGCTGGCTCCCCACAATGAAAGTCAGTGAGGAAGCCGGCAGGAAGTTGCAAGTCCCAGGCCAACAGGCAGGTAAGTGGCTGCTGCCGGGTGGGAGAGGAAGTGAGGGGGTACATGGGGGTACGGGGGAGGGTCGGGGAGGATGTGCGAGGGTGCGGTGCAGGTCAGGGAGAATGCACAGGAGGCACCATATGGATTGGAGAGGCTGTGTGCGGGTGCAGTGTGGGTTAGGGAATGTGTGCGGGGGTGTACAAGTGGCCAGCGTGTCACAAGCACAGAGGGGCTGGGGGAGGGTGCACAGGTGGAAGAGACTTATCCCAGCGACTTGTGATCTTCCCTGCTGGCTTCCCCTTTGACTTCAGGGAGGATCAGGGAGGGTATACAGGGGTGCAGAGTGGGACAGGGAAGGTGCGCAGGGGTGTGTGAACGACCTGCACAGCATGAGTACAGAGGGGCTGGGGGAGGGCACACAGGTGGAGGAGACTTACCCCAGTGACTTGCAATCTTCCCTGATGGCTTCCCCTTTTACTTTCTGGGGAAGCCAGCATGGAAGGTTGCAAATAGCAATCATGTGATTGTGGGGCACCTGGCAACAGGTCATAAGTGCAAACAGGTTGCCAAGCACCTAGATTGCAATCACACGACCACGGGGGTGCTGGGATGGCCGCAACTTCGAGGACTGGTCATAAGTCTCCTTTTTCAGCACCATCGTAACTTCAAACAGTTGCTGAACAAACAGTCATAAGTCGAGGACTACCTGTATATCAGCAACCTAAAAACAGCATTGTTTTAGCCAGTGTATCTCCACAGCATATTACATAATTGTAATTATAATATGATATGTCTATCTGTATTGGTTACAATCCTGGCAACTGCAACTTGAAGAAGGTGAAGATGTTTGCTCTTCTTCAAAAAGAAACCCATATAACTTACTACAACATAGAATCTGAAGGTTATCAGACATTAAGCATCAAAGATATAGATAACCCACTTCCTCCAAAAGCACATGAAGTTGATCCACCACCTTCCCTAAGAACTTGCCTAAAATCCATACATTAGTGATTAAATAATGTTAGAGGTAGTCCTCGCTTACCAACCATCCATTCAGTGACTATTCAAAGTTACAACGATGCTGAATGAGTGGTACTTACAACCGGTCCTCAAAGTTGCAGCCATCATAGCCTCCCCCGGGCATGTGATCATTATTCAGATGCTTGGCAACTGGTGTGCATTTACAATGGTTGCAGCATCCCGCAGTCACACGATTGCCATTTGCAATCTTCACAGCCAGCTTCCGACAAGCAAAGTCAATGGAGAAGCCATTAATGGATAAATTATATCGTTTGTTTTTGTTTTAATTGTGTATACTGCCCAGAGTCACATGCAAATGAGATGGGCGGTTATACAAATTCAAAAAATAAATAAAAAGCCATGGGAAGTTGCAAGTCATCGTGCTTAACACCTGTTCTGTAGATATGTCGCTTGATAAGAGAACAAACAGGGCAATCAATCCTCCAATTCTTAGCTCTCGAAGAAACCTGCCAATTTGTCCTATTGAAAAGGACATTTCTCCCTACCTGATTTTTTTAACATGTACTGCTGAGGGCCAGGTTCCATTTGGCTATAAACTTTTATTCCCAACCCTTAATTTACACAGCATTATGCAAACCATATACAGACAATGAAAAACCCTTCCAACTCATTACATTAAGTTATTTCTCTCCTTTTTATTTATTACCTGTTTTAATTTCATATAGAATGTTTTTGTGTAAGTTTTCCTGCTGAAGTACCAGAAGCGTTCATTGGCTGGATACACACGCACAAGTGTCTCTAACAGAAAACGAACTGGCTCTACCACTTCTGTGACTACCATATCTACTGCCACAGTCATGTATACACGCTTATCTGTAGCACACAAAGAAAATTCAATTTCACATTAAATTACAATAACAGTAACATACTATATGCTATATGCTTGGAAACCTTATAATTTCTACTCCTTTGAGATTCTTCTCTTGTACTACTCCATATTGTTATTTCATAATGTTGCCCTCTTACCTGCTCTTCCCTTTTCTCTCCAAAGTCCCACCTCTACTTATGCATCAGATCTGACTTTTTTAATGCAACATATAATCCTCCATCTACTGCTTTATAAATAATTGCATATGTTATATCCTAATGTAGTACATTAAGAATCCTATTAAAGCAGAAGGCTAAACAATAGATCTAATTCCCTTCCAATAATGTGATCACAGAATAGCATTTTAAATACATAATTACCCTTAGGAGTTTCTTCATTTAAGACTAAAAAGATAGGTATGTTAGGATTCCAAAGACCAGTTATTACGTAAGCTTTACCGTCAGAACTTTTCCCCATGGACTCCTAAGAAGAAAAACAGGATTTTTTCAGGATTACTTTTCAATATTCAATGTTGTATCTGTACAACTAAAAAGCATAATAAAACATCTTAAAACAAGTACACTCTTTAGTCTTGTTCAATAATTGAACAAGACTAGAGATATTTGCCATAAATTGCTTTCAATTTGCCATTCATTTTAACAATGGTTTATGTGTGTACAGGAATGTAATACCATAGAGCCAAACAAAGCACATTTAGCTGAAAATTGCACATTTGTATGGAAATTTCTAGATCTCACATCTCATATATGATACTTGTAAAAATACTGGCATCAAAACATCCCATAACTTTGTATTATAAAGGTTGGATTATGCCCATGTACATATATCTACTTCAACCGGCCTATTACAAAGTATCTTCCTGGTAACTGTCAAATATCCATATCCTCAGTATTCATGTGAAATACATAGCTGAGTAGTCTGGATAATTATATTTGCAGCAAAGGGTTAAGAAAGTCTTCTTTTTTTTTTTTTTTTTTTTTGGAAGCCTGCTAGATTCAGTATATTGGAAATTATTTAGGACATCTTCAGCCTCACCTAAATTTGTGCCATTATTTGGGTTCCTCTATAGTCTGGCTAGGAGTTGAATCTGGTTCTTCTGCTGGCATCTCTCTCTGTCCTGCTAGTAGACTGCTTTACCATTCAAACCCTGTTTTATTCTATTCCCCTCAAGCTAAGAGCATTTTCAGCTAGGATTGTCCTCACTAATTTACATAAATTTGATAAGGTGATGAGAGCTACCTGAAAATCACCAAGTTAAAGACCTTTTCATGCAGCAAATATATCTCCTAGCCTGTTGTGATATTACCTGAAAATTCATAGGCTTTCTTTCATGAGGAGTTCAGTCTCATACAAGAAATAAATTAAGGAAACTACACAACTATTACTGAAGAATATTCTAGAAGCATAACCTTTTTACAACTTTATGACAAAAGAAACAAAGAAAAAATAGTATTTCCACTTCTGATTCCAGAAGGCTATATTTGGAATGAGAACAATAGATTCTTTGACAGAGCCATTAAAGCCAAAATGAATACTATCACATACAGTTTTACCAGTTACACTAGAGAATTATTACCATATCCAGTAAGTGCATGTCACTGTTTTTGACATTTCGACCTTGACTTAGCAGCATCCCGAAGCACCTGCAATCAATATTAGTGAACACAAGAAAAAGTCAAGTTTAAAACACTGAATTGTATACTGATCTCACAGAGCACAATTTTTAAATAGGGAAATCAAAGTCTGATCCAGGTCCTTTCAAGGAATATTTTAGGGACTGTAGCATAAGGAATACACAAAATGTTTGGAACAGTGAACCCTAACCAGTTGTTTAACTCTGATAACACTATGGATAGGAAAAGGTGGAATAACTAACTTGACTGGCTTTATCTTGTTTATCTAGTAGATAAGTAATCTTGTTGGAAAGAAAAGATAATCTAATCACAGCTACCTTAAATTAAATTAAGAAGTCAAACTTACTCTGAGGTTCCATTCTGATTTGCAGGTAAGTAGAATACACAACAAAGATTTAACCCAACTTCTGATTAAATACAAAGCTAGTAAAAAGTTCTACACTATTCCAAGAAGGACCCTTCTAAGATTCAAAATGCAGCAGAACATTACTGAAATAATGCTCAAGAAGCAGCAGCAGCATAAATTAGCAAATGAAAAATGTAGCAGTTAGAAGAAAATCCCAGCAGAATGAGTCAAACCACATCCAATAAGTATCTTTGGCTACAACAGAGAGATGACAAAGGAAAAACAATGCATTAGGGTTCTATACTGCCTCAGATTTTATTAAAAAGAGGTACTCCAGAACAAGGAGAATGGAAAACGTGGTACTTGTTTGCAACTTGTTAAAGCAGCTGTGTCTAGTTCTAGGACTGTAGAACTTCCACTGTAGCTACACAGTTCTGGAAACAGATGAAGTTGCTTTAATTAGCCGCAGACAAGCACTGCATTCACATTGCTGCATATTATAAAGCACTCCTTCCATCTTGAATCCAAAACACTGCACAATCCTACCATGTAATGTTATCTGACAAAAACTGCAAATGTAAACTTCATCTTGCGGTTTGAGTCAAAAGGCAAACCGCACCCTTAAAACACCCAACTTTAATTTTGTAGAAATAATGACACTACAGTCTTGAGGCAATGGGAAAGCTATAATTGGGGTGCTGAGGGGTTGCCCATTCCTGCAATAAAGATTATTAGTCAACTATTGATTTTGGATTTTATTCTCTGACAGAAATTACTGCTTTATATTTACCCTGGAATATTCCATAACCGGTCTTCCAATACAGTGCTTACAGATGAAGAATAGTGTAAACCACTGAAAGACTGTACTTTCAGAGGGTTTAATCCCTTCCAACCACTTGATAATATTACACAGTTTTCCTTAGTTTATTGTCAATAAGACAAAAATTACTCTCTGCTTTTATTGATAGGCAAACAATTATGAACTAATCTCACAATATCTAATACAAGTATATAAGTTGCAGCATTTACATGATGACATTGTCATAAACTTGTCATTTGTCCCTTCCTTGTCCATTCAGGTTTGTTTGTTTTTTCCTTTCGTGACCTCTAATAAGTTAGGAATCTATGAGCCTTGCTACAGCTGAGAAACAGACTGGCTTATGTCCTTCTGTTTTTAAAGCTGAAGGGAGCCAGACTCTGGTCCTAAATATTAGATGAAACCTGGGAGCAATTGCTGATAAATGCATTCAGTCTACAAGTATCCCAAAATATGGAGTTTCTATTTTTGTTTGATGGATCAATATGTCTACCATTGCAATATGAATATCTTTAATGTTTATATTAAAAGCTTAGACAGCTTAACACCCATTTGCTCAAAGGTTTGCCTCTGCAACCTATTCAATATCTCCATTAAGATCAGCTGGGAAATCCCAGCTTGTGACCCCACCAGTAGATCTGGTTCATAATGCAGTGGCCAGGAGTAGGATCTTCCCAGTAGCAATAGATAATTACTAATTATCAAGATGTTTAGCTGTCACTCACTTTCTCTGACAACTACTCCAGACCACAATGTCTTTTAAATTGCCTGTTTTGAATATTTATATTTATTGTTTTTTTAAGTATTGTTCCTTTTATTCTGATAGTTTTAAAACTGCTTTACTGTTTTCTTGCTCTGGACAAGTAAAACTGAAATGAAATGAAATGAAAATTTTTGTCTCTCCAAAAAAATCTCTCCCCTAAATAAAAACTGATACAGGTGGATTAGTCTACTTGCTCTCCCACTAGCTAACCAAAACAGAACTTCAAAGTAAGTTCAACTTCCCATTCGGTGCTGGAAGGTAGAAGAAGGATATTTTACCTTCCAGGATGGGAGGAGAAACAAACCGTATTCTTACAGGATCTCCTTCTATAAAAGTTCAGAAAAACTGTAATTAAATAGTAACATTACAGGTAGTTCTCACCAACCACTCATTTAGTGACTGTCTGAAGTTATGACAATGCTGAAAAAATAACTTTACGGTCAATTTATGACCATTTACAACCTTCTCAGTGTCCTTAGTCACATGATCGCCATTACACTCAGTACACATTGTCCTGTGCCTGACTGGTGCTTTTTTTCCTTTTTTTTCCCCCTTTGCAGAGCAGAGATTAGAGAGGAAAGGATTGCAGGAGAGTAAGTTGTTTGCTCTTCTACACATCAAAAGCAATGCAATCATGCCAACAGCTGGAAAGGGTCAGGAAGAGATTTCAAGAGAGTATTATAAGCTGTTTACATAATATACCTGCAGCTCCCAGGCTGCTGGCACGATCACACTGCTTTCAATGTGTAGAAGACCAAACAGCTTATGTGATTTCCCACTTAGTGACCATTTTGCTTAGTGATGGAGTTGCCAGTCCCAATTAGGGTCGTTAAACAAGGACTACCTGTATCAAAAGTCAGGTGGAAGGGGTTATAGATAGGTGCAATGGCACTAATAACTAGGGTACTGAGGTTGTCATTTAGGAATGGAGGGAGAAAAGCCAAAAGAACAGTTTCCTAACAAAGGAGCCACCAAAATTTATGATTTTTGGACATTGTGTTTCTGCAGAAGTTTCCTCCAGTGATGGGGAAAATTAGGCAAACATTAACCAACTTATAATTTATTACTGTCACTGAATATTAATTATTGATATAAACATGAGTCTGTATACAGACAAACCTGACCTTAAAAAATGCATTCAATTAAAAAGTAGTCCAGATTATGCAACTATGACAATCATCTACCAAATAGTTTTCTGAGTGGAATGTTCTTGAAAAATCAGAGAGAAAAGCATCCTGTGTAACTTTAGTAAAGTAACTTTAGTACTGTGGTGAGAATCCAATTAATAAAACTATGAGCTGAAGAGGGGAAGATGGGTACCCCTGAAAAAGTACTTATAGTTTGCCTCATTGTTCATAGCATTGTCAAGCATTAAAAAAAGTTAAATATTATAAAAGCTACCTACTTGAAGAAAATTTAAAATATTGAGGATTGTAGCAAAACCATCTCCTTACTTCCACAACATCTATGAACATTTTCAAAATGACTCTCAAAAATTGAATCGCAAAGAGATTAAAATTGCTTTTCATTCCTGCAATTCATATTTTGCCTTTCTTAACTTCCTCCAGCATTGTAGTTATTTAAGAGGAAAAAATCAAAGACAGAAAAAGCATGCTTAATATCAAAGGATAATATCAAAGGGATTTCACAGCTCCATTTCTAATCCCTGATATATGTGTGCATGACCATACAAATGCATATTAAATATGTGCAATCCAAGATCCATTGCAAGATCAGACCTTAGATCAATGGTATAGCAATGAAATGTTTTTGCTTCAGATGTTTAAGATGTCCACCTCCAGTTTAAAAAAAAAAAAAAAACTTAGGGCAATAAAAGTATACCAAAACAAATTATGAACAATTACACTTCTGTTGCTTAAAAAAATTCACAGATCTTTTTATGAAACTAAACTTAATATGAAACTAAACATTGATTTGAAATCTTATGGAAAGGTTGCCATCTAGAGGAGATGCAACCCTTTGATACATTTCTCAAATCTTTTGAAAACATTTAAGACTAGTAGACATGAAACAGGATCCACAATTTTCAGACAGCTTTTTATTTGATTAAATGTGAAGCAATCTGATTCAAAATTGAGGCACTACAAGAAAACAAATTCAAACTTTTTCCATTTCTTTTTTCAAGGTACCACATTGGAAAAAAAAAGTACCTTCCCCACTGAAAATGGCAGCTTCAGGATGAGGCCTAAAAGAGTCATCTGGTGGGGGAGATGGGCGGCATACAAATTTAATAATAAATAAATAAAATAAATAGAATTTAAAACCTGAGAAAGACTAAGATATCTTTGGCATCATTGTCCCAATCTAATACATTCAGAATCACACTACACAGCTATTTTTAGGAAAAAAAGAGAACAGTGAAAAATTCAGTCACTGATCTCAGGTATTCTATTAATTTTAACCATTTATAATCTGCATTAGAATAATTCTCTACAACAGAAATAACATTTTTAAATTATGCTTCCTGAGTATTTTGATATGTCAGAAATCTATCTTTATTAGTTCTTTACAGCATACAAAAAATGTTCTAATAAATCCTGGATGCAATGCTGGATCATATTTAGTGAACTCAGTATTGGGTAGTGAAACTATCATAAGCTGTATACTAAAATGTATCTCCTTCTATCTTACCAACCAAAACACAATTCAAGACAGTTTACAAAAGATTTTAAAAAACAGCATACAAAATATTTTAAAATATAACAAATGTAACAAATCAATAGCAAATATTAAGGACAAACAATAGAAGTTGGTGAACAAAGCTATTAGGATAGCTTGCTAGAAGGAAATGCTGGTTTTGTACTCCACATTACTCTACATCAAGCTTTAATGTGATTTCTTTATCTTGGTTTAGCATAACATGTGATCTTAGCCACTATGGTTTGTAAATCATAATTTATGGCTTAGCTTTATATGTGAACCAAACTCCTTATGCTTATTTCAGCAAGCATGACTACAATGAACTATGTTAACCTGAACTGTTAACCAAGCTTTTGTACAAAAACCAATCCAAGTGACATTATTACTGTCCAAATACTAACCATTCAATTATAGTGTTAAACCTAATAAGAATTATGAATCAATACATGAATTCCAAGATACTTTAATAACAGATAAAATCTTACACAAACTACATTTTAAATTCTGTATTCAATACGTTTTTTATGATGCAAGAACTAATGTTATCAAGAAGCTAGAAAACATAAAATCTAATAATATGTAGAGGGATCTGTTGATAATACACAAAAGATTTCTGATGCATATCCCAGGAGCCCCCAGAGTCAGAGATTTTATTTACAGAAAATATTTTTACAATGTCTTTTAAGCCAAAGGCTTTACAAGGTGGCTTGGAATCAGTCATTTTAATTTTAAAACAATACAAGATATGGCTATCCAAAGTGAAGCATGGAGCAACAAATAAAATATATGACTAGTATTGAAGTGTTCAGAAAAAAGGATACAAAAACAAGGCTTCACGATCCATTCAAGAAGAAATATTGAAGGGGCGGTGCAAAACAAAAATTGCATGCATTTGGGAACCTTGGTTAAAAGGTTCTGTCCTCATTGGCCTATGAACTGATCTTTCCTGGTGTAGACCAAACAAGGATAGATAGGTTCATACAGGTGAACAATTCTTCATACAACTCAGACTATACAGTTTAGAGCACTAAAGATACTGTATACACTTGTGGATAAACCAAGAATTTTTGGTGCCAAAATACACCCAAAAAATTGTGTTCACCTTATCTGCAAATAGGCTTATTTGCAAGTATATATGGTAGGTTTTTCCTCTGCTTTTTATCCCATATATCCTCATGGATAAGCAGATCCTTGAATTTTTCACAAAATACCTTGAAAAATGCAGTAGTCATAGTAAGCTAATTGTGAAATTAAAACCTAAGAAAATTTCAAGGGTTGGCTTACCCGCGGGTGGCACGTTTTTCATGGTATTTTGGTTAAAAATTCAAAGGTTGGCTAATCCTGGCCTGGGGTGAGGAGGGAATACCTCAAGCATTGGGAGATGGACGATTGAAAAATTTAATAAATAAATAAAATAAATAAATAAATAAATCCATGGATTGGCTTATATGTGAGTATATTTATCTGTCTGTCTGTCTGTCTGTCAAATTTATATGGCCACCCATCTCACAAGAAGTGACTCTGGGCAGCGTACAGCAAAAAATATAAAACAATAAACATGTCAAACACAGTCAAAAGTTAAACACACAAACATACACACACACACACCCGAAATTAGATCAGCAAGGGAGCCACCTCAAGATCTCACTGGTCCCCTGAGACCCCAGGCCTGATGACACAGCCAGGTCTTGAGGGATGTCTGGAAAGTAAGTAGGGATGGAGCTGACCTCACTTCAGGGGGGAGAATGATCCATAAGGTAGGCACCATGGCTATACGGTAAGTACTTTGAATTGTGATCACAAATTAACTAGTAACCAACACAAATGATAAAACACTGATACAAAATTCATTCACCCTCCGGTTTTTAAAAGATGTTTTTGTAGGAATATTATTTTGGAAGGACATTGAAAATATTACAAACATTACAAAGCACTATTAATGACAAATGGTAGCTATTATTACCTTTCAATGGCTAATTCTTTGTTGGAAATCTGCTGTATAGTGATCACAACCTTCTTCTCAAAGCCTTGCTTTAGTTTGAAGTAAAATTTCTCTCTGTCTTTTGGTACTGGACTAAAGAAGAATAACATTACATCAATATCTGTTCAACAGCAAACGCTAATAAAAATTCTGATTAAAAAATAAGTTAATTTAGTTCATTAAAACTAAAGAACTTCAAAACTATCAGACCAAAGCCATAAAATAAAATGTTTTACATATTGTAGGCAAGCTGCAGCTCACTATTCAAAAGATTGTTTATTCCAACATTGCCTCTGGTTTCTACAAATCTCACAAGTTGGAGAATATATAATCTATTTTCTTAACTATGATAAGCTGCCTTTCTCACCATTAATCCTTGCATTCTGTTGGGAACACATATATTTTTAATACCTTGGAGGAAGGCACGAAGCAAACTGTACAAATAGGCAAAGTTAATTTACTTTCACAGGTTTAAATTACTTAGAATTTTTCCCTCCACCATTTTGTTATTTCTTCCATTTACCTGAAATTTCCTTTACCATCATCTTCTTTGACCTCTAAAGAAACAGTGAACATGAATATATCACTGTCAGGACTTGAAACAATAGTATCCTTGACATTATCTGATGCCTGTTTGGAGGAACGTTTGAACGCTGTTAAGAAACTATACAAAATTCGGCTGACCTAAAAATAAACACAGGAGGAGAGAAGGGCACAAAAGATAATTTAGAGAGAAGGGAGAAAGTTTAGAGAAATCAATAATTTATAATGCAAAATCAAAATGTCCAACTCTTATGCATATGTTTAAGTAATTATTTTACATTATTATTCTATATATTATTATTCATTTACAGGGAAAAAAACTATTTGCAAATTTAAAATTTGCTGTTCCTTAAGAAGTCTTCCAATTCTAGTACATTAGAAGAACTACAAATGTATTTAATCAAATATAAGAAGCTAAACAAGCACAATATAGAAAATGGCTTAGTAGTCAATTGAACAATAAACTACAGTGGTGCCTCTAGTTACTAACGCCCCTCCTTATGAATTTTTCAAGATATGACCAGCTCCGGCCCAAAAAATTTACCTCTACTTGCGAACTCTGCCTCTACTTACGAACCGGATCCGCGGCCATTTTCCCTGCTGCCACGCGGTCGCGGCTTCCTGTGGGCGAGATCGCAGTAG